TCTCTCTCTCTCTCTCTCTCTCTCTCTCTCTCTCTCTCTCTCTCTCTCTCTTCTGTCATTATTGTTGTTGGTCTTTTTATTAACCTTGTTTCATGTAGGTTACCTAGTTAGACTACTTGAGATGTATCCTGTGTGTTACACTTGCGTAATCCTTGGTCCTTCTGTTATCAGAGACAAAATACCAAGGTTTTTAATGCCGTATGTTTTTTACGATGGAGGCGTCCGTTTGCTCTGTGTTGTAGACAGGAGCTGGCAGACATTTTGTTTTGTATTTTTTTGCGTCTGTGGATGTGATTTTGTTTTTCAAACTGCTCCACCCATTTTCCATTTCCCGTCTCATGTCTAGTTTCTCTGCCTCTAGTCAATACTTGAGTTGTGTTGGTTTGTTTTTTTAAAGTCAGATGCTCCTTCTTTCCTATCAAACTACTATCGTCTTTATCTCTCCTTCTTTTTTATGTTTGTTACCCTAATCTTTGGCACTTATATGACCTTATTGTGTTGCAAGTGCCGTAAAACTCTTACTAAAACTAAGTCGGGTGCCCCAGTCCTGCTAGTAGGCAGGAGTCGTTGTGGACACATGACCACTAACCCATGTCGTTTTTTCAGGTCGTTACATGAAAAGTCTGAGCAGGCAATGGTAGACAGTGACCAGAAGCACTTCTTACATCTGAAGGTAGTCTCGCCATTCCTTGTAGCGCTGACTCCTCAGCCTGCCTGCCTGCCTGCCTGCCTGCCGCCTGCTGCCTGACAGCTCTATCTATATATATATATTTATATATTATTATTATATATACCACTCTTTGTGTCAGACGCACACCTCTCACATTTCCTCTCTTGGCCGTCCTGGTGGGGCAGAAACTACCCTCTAGCTGCCTGCGGTATAGCAATACATCTCCCTCTTCCTCTTCGCCCAATGACCCACGGTTTAGTAAATTAGTAATACATCTCTCAATGGCCCACAGTCCAGTCAGTAAAACATTTCTCAATGGCCCACAGTCCAGTCAGTAAAACATTTCTCAATGGCCCACAGTCCAGTCAGTAAAACATTTCTCAATGGCCCACAGTCTAGTCAATAAAACATTGCTCAATGAACCACAGTCTAGTCAGTAATACATCACCCTCCTTCTCCTGGCTCAATGGCCCACAGTCTAGTGATACACCCCCC